TGAATTAAACCAGGAGAACCAAGCAGAATGACAAAAACTAAAAAATGGGGAAGTTAAAGACCCCGCCAAGTTAGTGGAAATTGAAACTAAAATCACCCAAAATATTTACCAAAAAGGGGTGAAAGGAAAAGTGGCAGACTTAACTTCGCGGGTTAATCAAGTGCTAAAATCAAAATCCAATCAAAAATCTCAAATAGCGGCACTCAAAAAAGAATTATTAGAATTTATTAGTAGCAGTAATGTTTATTATTCTGCTCACCAAAAGGAAATTAAAAGTTTACTAACCAAATTGGAAAGTTTAGAGAGTAGCGAGAACCAGCAAACTAACTCTCCCATCACCAAACCCAATAATTTTCCTTTAAAGATGCTCATTCCTCTCTTGCTGATTGGAATATTATTATTAATGATAATCTGAACTAAGAAAGTTTTTTGAAGGAGAAAAAGATAAAAATCATCATAAAGAAAAAAGCACTGGTTAAAAAATTGCTGTTATTTTGCTGCTAAAAAAATAGTCAAGTTTTTGAAACTAACTTGGAAAGCAACCAAAACAGCAGAGAACAAAATATTTTCTCTTTATTTCTCAACACTTATAAAGGATAATATGGATAAACTATTTCAACCCAAAATAATCAATTAAATATTTGGCTACCCCACCACTACGACTATCGAACTCAGTGATATCATGAACGTAGGCTTTTAAGTTGTTAGCACTATTTGAAACGGCTACTCCAATCCCTACTTTATTCATCATTTCAATATCATTAATGTCATTCCCAAAAGCAATGGTATGGTTTAAAGAAATATTATAATATCCTGCCACTAATTTCGTAGCTTCTCCTTTATTAGCGTTGTAATTACGAATTTTGATTATTTGCCTAGTATGGTCAGGCACTAAAATATTTTCTCCTTCCCGTTCGGCTTTTAACTTTTCCCCACACTAGAAAGTAATACTCGACTTATAATTTTTTCTTAAGGTTCTTATAATATTATCTACTAAACTAGTTTTATTAGGAAATTCAAGGACTAATTGTAAAACGTCTTGGCCTTGTAAACGTTCCAAAAAATTAGCAATATCTACTGGTGAATTTTTAGTAGTTTCAGTCCCGCTTTTGCCAACTTTTTTGTAAGGATTGCCATTGAAGAAAACTTGTTGGTAATAAATATCATCACTAGTGGAAATAGATTGGCGGTCAATTGAGTCAACCATCACATTAAGCAAGTTATCGCGAATAGTCTTTTCAGTCAATATTTTTCCAATAATTGAATTGGCGATAGCAATAACTGCTAAGGCTGGATTATCTTTTTTTAGAGGATGATTAATGTAGGCTCCATTATAAGTAATTAATAAACTGTCAAGTCCGACTTCCTTATAAATAGGTAAGGTGGATAAATAGTTTCGACCGGTGGCAATACATACTTTATGCCCTTTTTCTTTTAATTTGCGTAAAACCTTAGCGGCTTTCTGATCGACATTAGTAAAATCAGGTAAAATGGTTCCATCTAAATCTACGACAATTAAATGTTGTTTTTCTTGGTTGAGTGCTTCTATATTCATATATTATTTAATTTTAACTTTTTGATTTCTTTTTCCTAATAATTAAGTATAAAGTTATTGAAACTATTACCAGAATTATTATAATAATTGTTAAGGTTGCTCCGAGTGATAATATGCTTGGT